TCCCTTGTTGTTATATGCCCAGGAGGTGTGATCACTGATCACGAGCAAAACCAATTCTTTATTTAAAAACAAAAGTTTATATTATTTTGCACTGCCACCTAAAGGAAACAGCAGCAAGTGCCACTACTACTGAACAGTTAAGCAGAGAAAATTTTGAGTTGCAGTGATCAGGGTTAAACCAGCTACAATCAGGATTACACCTAAATGCAGCAGCAAACCTGAGGGCATGTCTTATACCTTCTTACATTTATCAAAAATTTAAAAAAGCATATTATACTATACTCTTACCTCAGCTCCACAGATGCGACATTGCCCAATCCTTCAAAAAGTGCTCCTTTAGTAAGGCGCTTGGCAACAAAACTGCGCAACTCTGTCTCTGCTTCAGTTGGCAAGTTAGTATCCACCAAGGAGAGGCTTGAAAACAAGACAAAAAGTCATAATCAAAGCTTTAGTTGCATAACTAGGCATGTAAGCACCCAGCCTGCAGGCATCACGTGCTCAGAGCAGGGAAACGGAAAGATCTCTTCCAGGTCTGCTACTAACTCACTCATGGCATTTTACATCATCAAGGATCACGCGAAGAAGCACTGTGATGAAGCATGGCCTGCCTGCTCAGCTTACTGTGCACCCCAGAAGATACGTAAGGTCACTACCTTAATGCAGCACTGGGCTCATACGTCTAGGTGTGCTTAGTGATGCTTGCCCAGTGCCACAGTATGGTTGTGTATGATTGGGATGTGTAGCATGAGCAGAGTTGGGCTCACTGTGGTGCTCCCTAGTGCAGTCTTTAGCAGTGATAACATGACCTCTGAGACCTGTGGCAACTCAGAAACGTCCCCTAGTTGTTGAGTTCTACAGTTTTCTAATCTGAGTGCTAATACCAACTGACAGATCCCTCCACAGCCTTCATTAAATCACTTAACCTTGTGCTTCTTCAACTTTCCCACTTGCAAAATAAGAATAACGTCTATTTCACAAGGCTAGCTGTCTGCTCAAATTAGATGAAATTAACCAAAATGAGCTTATCTCTATTTAAAGACTTCAAATGACATCTAAATGCCAAGTACTAATAGTATTAGAAAACAGAAAAATTGAGAATAAAACACTAGTCATATACCAGTGCAGAAACACTCTCCTGTTTGGGTGCGTGCATGTCCATGATCACGCTGGCATTTAAGGAGAAAACCTACCTAAAAAAAGTGGCCAAATGAAGTGAATTCAGTATGGCTTGAACGTAATGGTATAGTTGTGGCCTGCTGCTGTGTCCACCTCACAGCTTCGAGCGTTTGCTCAAGTACCGCGGCGTCAGATGCTCCGAACGAGCGTGGGAACAGAAAGCGGCAGGTGCTTAAAGCGTTCGTTTTACCTGAAGTCTTCAGCAGCCGAAGTTTCTGCCGCCGCGCCGCTTGGACTCGCATCCACGCGTTCGGCTCCTTGCTGCGAGGACCTGAAAACCGAGCCACGTCCCGACTGGCCGTTAACACCCGCACGAATTTTATTGTGGAAGCAAAACAGGGCCAGAGAGAAAACGGGGCCGGGAGAGAAGGTGGCTCCTGAAGGCATTTTGGAGAAAGCCAAGGACGTCAGGACAGCGAGGGCTTCTCTCAGGCGTTCCCCAGAGGGGCAGAATAACAAGGACGTTAATGACACCAGGCATAGGTGCACGCTTTTATTTTTTGCTGGGGGGGG